CGCCATCTATTTCTCACCAGCATGTTGCTCATGAGGTCTGATACCATCTCTCACAGTGGGTGAACTGAGGAAGTTTAAAGGTTCTGCTGTAGTTCAAGGAACTGGAAAATTGATGTCAAACTTTGTGTGCAGCGAGATTCAAAATGATGATAAAGGAAAGAATAAGCAGCAAATTTGAGGAAAAATATCAGTCCTGCTGTGATGTCCACAACGCTATAACGCTATATAACCGATTTTTCGACATCCTTTTAACCCACTATTAACATTGGGTTAATATTACATACCTTTAGTGATACATTCACAAAAAAAATATTTTGAATTCATAAATATGTTTTTACAATATTAGTGTTTACTCAGAATTAGTTGAACTGCATATTGTGGTTTGATAAAAACCCTGTGCATTTGTCTTGTGCTGAGCGGTCTTCAAAGCACAGCTCTATTTCATATTGCTAAAACAATGCGACACCATGACTCTTACATGAACCAAACACTCTCTCTCTTTCTGATCCACCTCCTCACTCATCTGTGCTTCTGTGCATAAATTCTCATGCAGACAGGAAAAGATTTGATAAGCATGAAGCAGCATATTTATGACACATTAAAACTTTCAAAGGAAGATATCTCTATGGCTCAGAAGGACTAAACGTGCCCTATTCAGAAGCATGAGATTAAATGGTCTCTTGTTTGAGAGAGGTGTACAAATCCACACATTTGGAATTATCTCCATTTCTTCTTCGAACACAAAATGGCTTTTACCTTTTACTTGGAATATTCCTCTTCAAGCAAACATTACAATTTTTGTTTATTCCAAGCAATCTAATGTCCAATTTGTGGTTTTAAATGTAGAGATTTTAATCATAACAATAATTTCCCTCATTATATATTGTTATCCTCTTTATTCGTTCACATTCAGAAGAGATGATTTTCAAAGTACAGTCTGACCTAAGTTAAAGGTTAAACTCAGCAGGAAACACAAAGACAAGGCATCCTTATTTTCCCTCACAGCAGCTATCAGAGCAGAACACCAGCCTGCTCATGCCTGAAAGAAAAAGCAGAGGAACTGTGAGGGCCATATATGCCACTCACAAGAGGACCAAAGCAGGCCAGCGTCATGAGCTCACATCATACCTTTTTCATAAGCAACTACCGTCTCCTCTGAACAATGATAATTCCATTAGGATTGAGTGTCTCTCTGCAGCACGAACTCATAGTGACCCGAAGAGACATGACTGAGGTGGCTGCATATTCCAAAAACTCTCAAGAGACAGATAACGTGCACTGTAAATAGGTTGCTGTAAATTTTACAGTAACTTACTGGCAGCTGGATGCCAGTAATTTACTGTAAAAATGTTTAAGAGGATCCAAAATTCACAAGAAGAGAATCCAAAATACATCTCCGACGTTGCATACTACATCCAGACTAGAAATCTGAAAATAACAAACAAACGAAGTATTAGAAACTACTGTTTAAAATCTCCACTGAAACAGTGGTTTGCCTAACGCACTTTACCTCAGTATTTCATGTTAATTCGCTGTTAAGGTTAAATAACGACTCACCAGAGGAGCTAACTTGCATTAAAGACAGTATAATACTGTTCAAATTACAAAAATCAGTTACAGTGTGGCAATTGATAATGTCTGATTCTAATACATTTGGATGTGTTGTCACACACTCCACCCATGATATCATTCCTTTGTGGAGCCTTAAAAATTAGAAATTGGAGTGTAGTCTCCATAACAAACCATTTGTGACAATTAGGCCGAGTGCTCGTCATCACATCTAATGCACGCTCAGGCAAACTTGGCATGTACATTGCAATTTGTCACAATGCCACCTTCACTCCCTGAGGCACTGAACGCATGAGATACAGGCCATGCTGTGTTAGAAGAACCCTAACAACCCCGCAGTTATATCTTTTCAATCCATGAACTGCTCATCATGTATGGGAAATAATAGATAAAGAGAAAGTCATTATTTTGTATGTTATTACCAGTGGTGTCAAGTCAAGGTGATGTCGTATTTCAGTTCCTATCCCCTTCTGTGGATTGAAAATCTGGTATTTGTTTATATTTAAATATGGACGAAAAAAAATGTATTAAAAAAAAATACAAAACAGAAAATTATAGTGTAAAAAAAATATTTTTTTTTTAGATTTTTACATCGAAATGTAGATTATATATATATATATATATATAGGTTAGATTATATATGATTGAAAATATAACAAATACATCACACATATTTAATTATAGTTTAATTACTTCATGATTATTTATTTAATTGGTATAAAATATCTAAGGATACAAATTCTACAAGTACACTGTAAAAACAAAAAGTACAATAGTAAATTTTGTAAATAAAAGATTACTGGAGTACATTTTACAAGAAAATACTATTTCAGCCTTTCTACTTTGAAATTGTATGCTTAATTCCATGTGTTACTTGCTGTTTCTTTGTAATTCTTGGTAAAATTATTAGCAATTTCTCAGTGTTTTTAAAATCCTTTTTTTTTTTTTTTTGCAGTGTACTTTGACAAAAAAAATAAAAACTATTTTTGGGCCTCATCTAAAAATCAAACTTTCAACAAAGCAGTAATTTATGAGTTGTTCTGCATTATTAATGTCTTATTTGGTTTTGCCGTTTCTGCGAAAAACTGTCACTTTCAATTTAAGTGTGTCATTGCAGAGACATGAAAGTTCCAGACTTGTGATTTACATAAAGCACACCTTTGCTGATTGACTGATTATTTATTTCATGGGAGTATCCTGCTGCTACTAAGCAATCCTACATAAAATAAGACTTTATTAAGCTGCAAATTCAGTTGTGCTGCTGTGCAACCTGCTAAACCTGCTGAGAGCCAACAAATCCCTTTTTAGTATAAAACTATTAACCTTTAGAGACTTCAGCACAGGACATGCAGACTCTGCGAAAGACGTAAGATTGTAATCTAACTCCCTAAATAACTGACATGAATTCAGAGTGAGGCTAACAGAGGGCCTGTATTTCTGGAAATTGTTACTGGAGGAAATGCTGCAGCTTATCAGAATGTATTTCAAACATATCATAGTCCAATTATCACAGGAAGTTTCTCTTTAAAGAGAAGGCCTTTAACCTCAAGGGAGGATGTTGCACATTGAGTCTTTACTCCATACGGTAGAAAATAATTTTTTCCCTTAATATTTATCAATATTTATAAATACATGTCTTATTCAGGGTGGGCAAAACAACATTTTCTAGAATGTAACGGCAAAATATTGACACACCATCCTTGTCATGCCAACTGAAAATATTGAGCTGCAGAAATGCGTTTTGAAGTAATCTGAGTATCTTCAACAATCTAAAAAAAAAATAGCATTAATGATTTTTTTATGAAGTGTCACACCAAAGGAATTTCTTGGAAAGTTCCTGTAACAGCAATATAGGCCTACTGCATGAATACAGAACTCCACCTTGTGGTTGTTTTAGTCAACCTTAATCTGAAGCCATTGACTGAGTTACAGCACTTGCTTGTGGAATATTAAGATGCCAAGTTTGTTCATGGGATTTTCAGCTTTGCTTTATTGATCTTGATATGAAATTAAATTTTTGTGACATGCCTCAGGCCACTTTATGTCTAGACTATTTATATTTATCTGGCCAAGCAAGTTATTTACTTGATTGATTAAATACACTAGGGGGCGCTATATATAGACTTCCAAACAAAGGTGCACAAAAAGTATACGGAGCAATATATTGCTTCGCTTTTTCACAAAGGATTATACCCTGCACAACAATAATGTAAAAAAAAAATTAAAAAAAAAACCTTTGATGGCACTGCATTTTGGAAGCTAGAATCAAAATACAGGCGATTATGTTAGCTGATATTAATATCAATAAATAATGTCTGTGATGATGTGTTTGGTGTTATTTATGGTAACATTTTGCATGTTGACGGATCAAACGACAACATAAATCGAACTCAGAGAAATAATTAAAGAGTCATAAATTCTTGTATTCTGGCTTTGTTTATTTTTATTTATTCTGGCTTTGATATCGAGTGCCATTAAACGAGACCCATTATGATTTTACTGAAAATGTATATACTTAATTAAAACTAAAACATTAAAAAAGGTCGAATACATGTAATTTCACCCTTTAATGGTTAATAACCTGCTATCTTTGACCCAGCAGACAATGACTATTTTCATTTTTCATTCTTGACTTTCTCAGGTTAAGTGTCACCAGCTTTTTGAATAATGAGATGATATCTGCTGCCAGTCTGAATTAAACATGTTCTGGCTGAACAGAGAAAAACATTCAATTAAATATATGGAGTATAAAACATCAGCATATTAAAAATTGTTGTTAATTACTGTCAATTAAACATTATTGCTTCATCACTTAAACAGTGTTGTGAAAATACTGTATTTAATAATGCAAATCATTAAAAATAGTATATTCTTATTTTATTGAAAATAAACATTTTACAAATGCATAAAAACACATGAGAATATTAAACAAACTTTCATTAAACAAATCTTTTAAAAACAGTCCATATCATATACAGTATACACAGAGTGAGATGTGTATAAACTGCTGCCTTTAACTTCAATACTGTAAAATCAGTGCAATAATCTTTGTCAGTACAGTGCCAATGACTTCATAAACCATTATTTGGCGGACTTCTCCCTTGGTGGCTGGGCCTTTACTCGTCTTAGGTATTCTTTGGAAACTCTTACATACTTTTTAGTGGGACTCCAACTTTTTCTCCCTGAGAACAACAAAACACATTGTTAGACATTGAAAATAAAGCTGTTCTATTGTCTTGATAATGACTTTCTCATTAATTACAGACAAACCCAAAATGATCAAACATACCATTTTTACCACAAACATCCATACAGCTTTGTTTGGAGATGAAGTTATTATTGCTTCCTCCGCATCCTGTGTATATGAACTCCTCGCAAGTCTTAGTAGCAGAGTTGTAGTAATACCTTGGTATGGAAGCTAAGCACTTTCCTTTGTCCAAAATATCATTGCAAATCACAGGGATTGCTGGAAAAAATAAAAAAGACCACAAAAATGTTTAACTTTTCATCTTTCCATTTTCTAGGGACCTCAGATATGTTCTAGGTGAAGCCAGGGTCCATTAACTAAGCAAGGCAAGAGACTGGAAACCATTTAGACGTGATGGCCATTAAACAAGCCTGTTGTGCTGATGATTTGAAAAGATGACAATAAAAATATCTTAATGTGTTCCAATGAAGACGATTAGGGTTGCAATAAGTACACAGTGTTGCAAATTAGCTTCGGCTACAAGCACTATGGTACATGCATGGGATGATTGTTTTTTACATTTTCATCTATGTTTATTGTATCTGTCCCTAACAAATAAAACATTAAATAAAATAAAAAAACAGATCCCTTAATGTTCTCCTCTATGTTCCGCTCATCCATTTTTTTTAATGCTATTGACATTTCCTCACCAAACGATTATCAAGATTTAAAACTTTATTCCTGCTCTTTTTCTAAAGACGGCAACAACAACAAAAAACACTTTCCAATATTGTCTTTAAATACATGTCAGGTATATATATTTTTAAATTTGCATTTTAAATATTTTTTATGACCTAGAATGCAATTTTCAAATTTTTTTAGAAATGCTACTGTGTCTCAATATACTTACTTTTAGGAGGTCTGCAATATTCCATACATTCCTTAAGGTTTTGAAAGTTGTTGTCATTGCCTTGACAACCACCATAAGTGAAGGCCTCACACTGCATGGAGGTCATATTGAAGAAATAGCGCTTGAAGAGGCCACGGCAGGGCCCCTCTTCCATTTGAAAACGACAGATTTGGGGGATTTCTGTAGTGTGCAGAAGAAAACATGTTAAAGTGAGCATTTCACAAGTGTGAACACAATGCCTATGAACTTTTTTTAACCATAACTGCCCTCAGAACTCTCATAAAAAGTCAATTTAAGATGCTGTGTGTATTGTTTACAGAACATGTGCATTCATAGTGGATGTATAAAATAAACGTACTTGGTATCCTGAAGCATGTTTTCTGGCATTCCAAAAAGGATTTGAAGTTGTTTGCGTTTCCTCTACAACCGCTATAGCTGAATTCTTCACACTGTTGGGTGATTGTATTGTAGTAATAGCGCTGGATGTCGTCATTGCACGGTCCTTCTTCAACTTGCAATAGGCAAACTTCTGTGGGGGAATAAATTGCGCATTAAAAATGATAAATCTCAACCTCAAATTCACGTGCAACGTTCTGTGTCAGGTTCCAACAAACAAATCTGTTTCGCCCATTTTGCTACAACTTTTGAGGAAGTTATTAAAAATCCAAATGTTATCTTTACCTCTGGGCTGTAGTCCGACGGCGCTTTGCAGTACAGCAACAATAAGCAAAAGACCTCCAAGAAAATCACACGACATTGTGATAGATTTTGGATTCTAAGGTCGCGTGTAGTCTGATATATGTTACTCGCCTGTGAAGTTACTAACTTGACTTCTTACAATCGTTGCCTTATAAATGGAGAATTTGTCAGGGGTGGAATTGGAAGGGCGGGCTATACTTAAGTCATTTCCATGACAATTCCACGTAGTACTACAGCAAGTTGCGTCTATTCCCAAAGAAGGAAATAAGTAATAACTTCATATTTCATGACCTTAGAATTATATCAAAGCCAAATTTAGTATTACTACGACTATAATAATGCACGGTAAAAAATATTTATCAAAGGAAGATTATTGGGGTACGTTTTACACGAAAACACTACGACCAAAATACTACAACTCAGAAATACTACGTCCAAATCTTATGTTAGTTTAATATGTAACTTGCCTTTCTTTGTAATCATTTATAAAATTTACTAGAAATTTCTGAGTGAAAATTGCTTAAATCTTTATTTTAGTCAATCCTATACCATGTTTTTAGTGTAGTAACATTGTAATGTATATAACATACATCACATATGTACATAACAATGTATTAACAATATAATGTATTATTATTAAGATTATTTTTATTAAGATTATTATAGAATAGTTGTAGCCTAGTAGTTTGGCTCTGATATAACGATACAATGAAATAATGATATAATGACAATTTTACATTTCCATGTGTGACCACCTGAAAACATTTTTTTTGATAGAGAATACATTTGTCATATCTTGGATGATAATGCATTATCTAATGTGACAGGTCAGGGGTAAACATGGATTAGCATGCTCATCACAGCAGCCTGTAATACTTTCTATGTCCCCGTGACCTAAATTGAAATCCAAGGGTCATTAGGAGAAAACCTGAATCAATTTCATTATGTTTGGGGTTTATATTATTGTTTATGTAAATATGTATTTACTTTGTTGAATGTGTGGTTGTTTACAAGAACAGCTGGCCAGACATTTGAAGAAGACTATGGAAAGAGAAAATAAGAATGCTTGTTTTAATGAGATTAAGAGATTACAATGTTTATGCAGATTACTTTATAAACCGGATTGAGAGAGAGGTGCAGAATCTCTTGTCCATTTTCACAGGTGGAGGAGACCTCATCGTAAGTGGCAGTAAGTCTGGTCATCAGCAATATATTGTACTTAAATATCTCAAAGATAAATAACCTACCACATGTGATGTGATCGTTTGATTTGATTTCTCAGACAATGCCGGTCATAAATGTAGAAGATCTGACAGACCTGGATAAGGCAAAAATGGAAGTAACCCAGCTCAAAATTGAGGTGAAGCTTGAAAGGGCAAAGGTAAGCGTTTAAATCTACTCATGGCCACATTACACAAAACGGACTACATCGAAGTTGGATGGGCATTGTTGGTATGCTGGTATGTTCTTTTTTGTTTGATTTTCACTTCAATTACTTTTTTTCGTCAGGTGTCCAAATGCTGTGAAGAGATTTCAGAGTACATTCAGAGCGGAGCAGATGAGGATCCTTTGGTCAAAGGCATTCCAGAGGAGAAGAATCCATTCAAGGAGAAAGGTGGATGTGTCATTTGCTAATGAGGACAGAGAACCCCCCCAACTTTTACAGTTTAGTGTTCATTGCTGCCCATGGACACCTGCTAAAATTGAATCAGCTGGAATCCATGAAAAAGGACAATCACAAACATGGATAGATGTTCAATTAACTCTAAATGGCTTTTTTTCTCCCTTGTAAATGAGTCCCCAGGATCTGGACCCTAATATGTTGTGTATTCCTCTTTGAAATGCTGTAATAAATCAGACTACCATTGGGCACTGATCACCAGAGACTTGCTTGATGGACTAATGCATGTATTTCTTTCTTAGGCAGCCAGCCAGCCAAAGGGTAACATCTGTGTGACAAAACAAAAAAGTGGAATGTTTGAGCTTGTAATTCACATGATAAATCAAGGCTGATAAATCAAGGTGGAATATTTTAGCTATTCAATAAAATCACATTACTTGGCAAAGGGCCACTACAGTTTCTGACTGAAATTTTTGTCATAATGGGTTTGGTTTAAAATTCACATTAGCCTTTAGAGTAAACCTAATTTTACAGAAAACTTTACTTCACGTGTTAAAGCAGTTTGTCATAACGGTTCAGACAAAAGGTCATACTTTCTTGTTAATTAATTAAATGTACTAATGGTACCACAGTGGTAACTGCCAAAATACCATAACTAGGCTACTACATTTAATAAATATTGAATAAATACATATGGATCTTGTTTCATTTGACCATTACCCATTTACCACAGTTTTAATGTATAACTATAAATATGTTAACTACAGTAATCTTGATAAAGCGCTGACAGCATTACTGTGTATTCGAGTTCTAACTTTACGTGAGGCTAATGCGCATGCGCATGTCAACACTTTCGAGTTCAGTAAGAATGGCACTGCGCGTCTTGAGATTCAGTTTGGCTTTGAATCGCAGTTTACTCAAAACCACTGTTGTCTGCAACAAACGGCACTTGTCAGAAAAAGCGTCCTCCAATCCGAAAGCATCCGTTTCTACTGAAAATATCGATCATGTTCTCTACACAGAGGAACATTTTGCATTAAAGGCATCTTTGAGAAAGGTAGATATGACCGCGTGCTATTGTATTGTGTCTTTAACAAATGTACTATTCTCTGTCGAGATTAATGTTGATTAAGTTTCTTGATACCTGATTATCGCACTCACATGAATGTGCAGGTCAAATCTTTTTCAGCAAGTGAATGTAGGTAAGGGGTCACTTGCTGTATCAAGTAGCTAGTTTCAACTGGGTCGGTTGTATGAATTGCTTGGGATTTCATTGTCAGTGTCGGACATAATTAAAGGATTTTATGGAAGGATTTGTTTGATATAAAGATACATTTTCAATGTTAACAGATGAATTGTCAAGATTAACCGCTTTGTTTTGACGCTTCCAGGAAGCTATGATAGTCACGTGACGCTCAAGTTGATTATGGCCTGCTGTCAACTCCAGGCTAAAAGTTATTAAAAAAAAATTTGTAAAAACTTCCCTTCTATACCAAATAAATAAAAGTTTATTTTTCATATTATTTACATTTCAGATTATTTACAAAAAAATATTAATAAATTAATTTGTACAATTTGTACACTTCTTCTGCTGTCATTTCCATGACCAAACAATTTAGAAAACAAATATTTCGTTTCTCAAAAAGGTTTATCTTTGATTATTATAAGAATTAGAAGTAATTGAGGAATCTCTCTCTATCGCTATATTTTTTAAAAATGTCATATTTAATTTACTAATAGCTAATCTTTTGTTAGCAAGGCCACGACTTTTCTCCAGTGCATGGAAGAAAAAAAAATCCTTTCTATTACACGTCACTACCTTCTCTAAGGCATGTGATAAATATTTTAACATGAATTATATTTGAATTAATAAGATTTAAATGATTGAAAGTCATTATAATTATACAACTGTGTAGACTAGGAAGGGTTACAGGGCTTGGGAAGGAAGTTGCCTTCTCCAATTAAAGTGTGTAGGCTTGTATGAGAAAGGATATAAGTGGAAAACAGAAAAAGCAACGGATGATGAAAACAATGCCGTAGAGTGAAGCTCAGGGACAGAGTTTATTAAAATAACTCACCAGAGACAGTGAAACATTGAAAACAAGTTAGAAAAGTCCTTGACATAGAAGCACGTAATGTTATTATGCGTCTAAATGAAAGGAAAGACTGATGTGAAATTTAACAGTGCATAATATTTGCAGGCTTGGTTTTATTTTTCAGCTTTTACTCATGCTAAAAGTATTTTACAATAAAATGCACTTCTTCTCAAGGTCACCTTATGACTTGAAGAAATTCTTCACATAGTACTAATCTTACGTAATGCATGTCACGTCAGTTATGTTCCGATTGAAATAAAGGGAGTATGATTTAAAAAATCTAAATTTTTCATGCACAAATAGGGTTACCACTTCCAGGAAACATTACCTACTGTTATTCAGTTTAGTTCAATGGGCATGTCTTCTGGGTGCATAAAGTGTTGACAAACTATAAATCAGAGTTCTGGACTCCACCAAACAATTCTCAGCTCGGACCGACAAGAGAATTGTGGAATGTATCACCATTCTTTATTAAGAATTAGGAACCTTATACTGAAGGTTCGAACAGGGTGGACCGCTCTTCCTTTCTGACTGTATTATCCAGTCACAGTCTTCTGGGTTTTGAGTAAACCTGTACTAAATAGGCCTTTTTACTCCACAACACCAGTCAAATGCTTCCTTTTGTGATCTGATGAGGCTTCTTGTCACAGAATGAGGCAGAAAATATGTTCTATATGCTACTTTAAAAAGAATACATCGATTAGCAATAAATTAGGGTGACCATACGTCCTCTTTTCCCCCGGACATGTCCTCTTTTTGGACCTACAAAAATGCGTCCGGCCAGGATTTCTTAATTGCCCAAAATGTCCGGGATTCGGCTGTTTTCTTAATCCCACTCCCGCTGAATCTCTGACCATTGCTGTCTGCTCCCGCAACATGTGTTTCGCTCCCGCGATTTTCGTGTCCACTCCTTTAAACATTCTAATATTGTGTATAATTATGGCGCATCAGGGAGCCGCTCTCAGGATGCGGTGTATTTAAATATTTTTGAATAAGCATTTGCGCTGTTTACTTTCACTTTCGATTTCTCGATCACACGCACTCTGTGTAAAGGGAGCAAGCACATCTTACAAGATCAGATATTTGTCAATGAGCTCAGAACTACTTCTAATTTTATCTGCTTGTTTTTTTTTAATTAAAAAAACTTGACCCTCTAACATTTGCACTCTCTATTTTATTTCTGTTCTAATGGCCAATCCATCATTTTTTGGGGGAATTTTTATTTATTTATTTATTTTTAATAAGTATCGGTTCAGGCACTGTTTAGGCACCGGAACCGTTTTAAAAGTATCGATTTGGCACCGGTATCGAAAAAAAAACAAACGATACCCAACCCTACTTAGCAGTCGATGTCCGTATGCACAAAGGCACAGATCCCTAAACAAGGCCATATCTGCAGATTAATTTTTTTTGTAGAAGCATTTTGTAAATTTGAACTAGCAC